CCTTACGTTCTCGACTGTGATTGGCTAATTCGCTTACTGCTTAAATCTTACTGCTTAAGTTTTTTTATGTGCACAGCCTTAAGGTTTGTTCTACAATACGTCGCATGTTGATGTCGCAAACTGCAAGCCACAAGAATTGACCAATCACAAACGAATGTGGAGAGAATACTTGATTATGATTGGTCCATTCTTACGGTCCACGACACACCGACACACGACGCATTGTAGAACAGGCTTAAAAGAACAGTGTACACTTCTTGAATTAGTGCAGCCAGTGCAGAGGAAAAAAATAAACCTATTATTGCACTAAAACTGCACGAGTGCAGCACTACATTTCAACAGAAGAAGTATAATAAATAACGAAACAATTTTGCGTGTACATTTTTAATTCTCTCATAAAATTTATTTTATAACGTTTTAATATAAAGTAATATAAAATAATATCAAGAAGCACAGGTAGTGTTTTGACAAGTTCACGCGCAGCGAAGTTCGAAGCGTAGAGCGGCGGCGAGACGCCAGTGGCTCTATTTACGCGAGATCCTGGGATGAACTCGGTCTACATTTTCATATCTCAGCAATGACTGCATTGATTAAGTTTTAATTACGCTTAATCGATAGCTGAGTATCAAATTATATAAGAAAAGTGTTTTTATTTTTTTTCTCCGTGTTCTACAAACTGAGATATCGCGACGCAAAGTTCAAATTAGTAAATTTAAGAAACGTCCTGGTTGTCATGACTCTCCTTTTTCTGTCGCAAGAGGCGCTAATGAACGTTTCTGTATGACAGTTTTTGCAACGCTCATTTTTTTTATTTGATATCTTTGACAGATGTCATATGAAGTTATACGTATTGATTAATAAAAAAAGAAGATATAACGTGTGTCACATATAATAATAAGTAATATTGTAATAATATATAATACATTGAAGAAATAGAATAAGAAATAAAAATAGAAATAGAATTAGATTTTTATAACAAATTACATTAGATTTTTACAACAAATTAAATTATTAGATTTTTATTATATTATTAGATTATTGACAACAAATGTATTAAATTTTTACAACAAATTATTAATATTTATTAACAATTATTACATTAAACATAAATTAATTAAACATAAATAACATAAATTAAATATAAATAACATAAAAAACATAACATAAAATTAATAACATATAACATAAAACAACATAAATAATATGTTATATGTTATATTATATGTTATGTTATATGTAACGGCATTTGAAATTACAAAACAGTTAGTTCAGAAATATACTGCAGATAATAAACTGCAAAAATAACAAGATGCATCTCAAGATGATCCAGAGAATGCAATAGATGTGCAAAACATAGAGGCAGGTGAAGCCATGCAGGACTTTAAAGATTTTAGAGCTAAAATTAAAGAAGAGGATGTTTCTGAAATGATAATAAAATTAAACACGATCAAAAGAGAGTATTTGATAGAGTTATTAGCACTATTAAATTAAATAAATCAGTATTACGATTATATATATCAGTATTACGATTATACTATATCAAATTAGCGATGAAGGTGGTACTGGAAAAAGTTTTCTAATTAAGACTATTAAATGTTGGATAAAACAAAATCTTAATAAAGAAACTGCTGTAGCAACACTTACAGATATTGCAGCATTTAATATAGACGGTTTGACAATTCACAGATTGTTCCAATTACTTGTTGAACATGATCATACTCCTAAATATAAACAGTTATCTGATCATGTATTGAAAGTTCTACAAGCGGATTTAAATGATGTTATACTTTTTATAATAAATGAAATATCAATGATATCTAATTTAATTTTAATGTATATACATCTTCGATTATCCAAAATATATGACACTACTGAATGTAATGATGGCTGGTTTGGTAGAAAACATATTCTTTTATTTGGAAGTCTTCTTCAATTATCTCCTGTACATGAAGATTTTGTTTTTGTTCATTTATTGAAAGAAAAAATTGATAAATATATTTTTAGCACTTTAGGAACCATTAATTTGTGGACTATATTATTTGAATATGATGAATTGACAATTAATATACGACAGCAAGGAGATATGACTTATCGTGAATTGTTATCGCGTATTCGTATTGGTTTATTGACAAATTCAGATCACAAGATTCTTCAAAATAGAAAAATATTCTTTACGAATACTTCTTTTAATTCAAGATTAGATGAAATATGTAATTTTTTAATTATCAATTTATTAGTTGACACTGTGTGTTTATTTCCTACTTGTCATATGTGTAATATTTTAAATACTGCAATGTTGAATCGTATTAATTCAAAAGAAATATTATTAATTGCTGAAGACACGATAAATTGTATTCCATACATAAAAAAGAAAGTATTGAAAGTAATTATCGAAAAATGATGAAGATGATATTAGAACAACTGGACTTTCGAAACAAATTATTATTAAGATTGGAGCAAAGTAATGATAAGACGTAATATTGATGTTATAATAGTTTGGGACTGGGGTAAATGGTACAATCGCGAAAATAATATCAATTGTTTAAGATATAAATACTGAATATGTAGAAAAGATCAAACTTTTATTTACCTACAGGTATTACCAAAATACTTGATTGAAAGAGTCAATGTTAAATTTCAAATGATGGATAGAGCTTATGTTATCAGAAAACAATTTCCATTATCATTAAGTTATGGAATCACTATTCATAAAAGCCAAGGATTAAGTTTACAAAATGCTATTATGGACATTGGTAATTCTGTATTTAATGCA